CACTTCCCGCATCAATATAACTTCATAATCGGACATTTTTAAAAACACAGCCGATTGCCTCTCTTAAGTTAAAACGCAACACACCAAACGAGCTACAAACTTCACATTCAATCTAAACAATCAGTCTCTTGCGCCGCTCCCAATAACACTATCTCTTACTGCACCCGCGTGCAGACGAAGTGCGCATGGATCGTACAAACAAAATTTAATAAATTTTAAGAAAGTCACAATAAAAGATAATGAAAGATTTAATTAAATAACTGTAGACTCTCATATATTCTGGTAGCCTCACACCAAAATCACTGTACTAATTATTCTACACCCTCTGGTGATTCTTACAACTTAATTATTTTTCATTAATACAATTAAAACACCTTTTATATATGTTTGGGATTTTTTATTTTGATAAATTAATCAATTAACTCACCTATTATCCGAAGCTGTAGCTTCACTAAAATCACTTGTAAACCTCATATTTGTACCTTCCTGGTAGTGTTTAGTTTGTTTTTATTTATACAGCATTATTTAAAACATACAGACGTTGACCAACCTGTTGCAGAAACTAAGAGTGGTGGCCATGTCACCCCAAGTTTGACTCTTACTGTCCAATTCAGGAGCCACTGTTCAAAATTAAGCCCTACTTGACAACATCAGATTTCAGTCTTTACTGCAGAATCATGGAGAATGACATCTTTTTTGCCTTTGGAGTACTTTGCAATTTTTCTGCCTCTCGGATATGCTGAAGACAGAGACAAATGAAGTCCAAAGAAGAAAGTAAAAAAATGACATTCTGCAGAGTGCAGCTCAAGATGATGAAGAAGTTTCACAGGGAAGAGGACCGATGAGTGAAGGAAGTAGTGAGAAGAGCAAGATAGAAAAGATAAAATGATTAGAAAGAGAGCCAAACCTAAAACATCCAAGACCGGAACACAGAGAAAGGTGGAAGATGAGCAAGTTGCAGTTGGTGCTGTGGAGAGATTCACAATAACTGTGAATTCTAAACAAATGGAAAAAAATTGTTCCGCGACATGGTTCCACAAAACTTAGGCAACCATGGACAAAGTGTGGTATTATAGCAGTTCCGAAAAAGAAAATCCTTGTTGTACCCTTTTCATTCAGAGCCAGCATTTCATAAAACCGCCTCCACAGAGCAGAGAACATTAACAGTCTTTATGGTTTTAAATATGAAAACCGAGTGCTGTTTGTTACATTCCTTCCTGCTGTGCGAAATACTTTTTTAAAAAGTAAAGGGGAGCCAGTGGGACGACAACAAGTCAACATAGCTGTGCTGCAACACAGGAACAAGTAGCACACAAGACAAATGAGACACAAATTCAAGACCAGCCGCAAAAACCCGGAAGAGGAGAATTGCAAAAGCTCTAGATAAAGGAGTGAGGCCAAAGTGTTTCTATCGTAAGCTCCAAAAAACACCAGTTGCTGAACTGATTTCAGGGAACGTAACCCAGTGTTTGAACCAAAAATGTGCTTAAGGTGATTAATTCAGAGGTTAGCAAACAGCAACAAGAGTGGATTGATGAATGTCTTCATGGAGATGAGGAATGTGACTTCCATTTCCGACAAGATGCCTGGCTACATACAGCACTTACAAGTTGACCCCTTTTTGGTGTACACATGTATACAGAACACTGGAATAAGGCATAACATGTGCAACACTAGAAGAAGAGGCGAGTGTAGGGTCCAGTCACTCATGCATCTAAGGGTTAAAAATGTCCCGATTATGAGTTATTGATGCGGGAAGCGAATCTGTGACTATATTGCCAACTTTAGCAGTGTGTCAGCGGTACAGCCAGAGAGTGCAGAAGGAGCGAGATGACTCACTTTACCCCGCTTCCGCCTTCCGTCGCTGAGCTCGAAACTTTGGATAATGAATAAATAACGGTCATTGGCATCTACTTAGCTAGTTTGTGGGGCTTTTAAGTAACAAAACAGCTCGCCAGCTTCTGAAAAACAAGTAAAGTAGTAACTAACTAATAAAATTAGTTGGTTTATGGTTTAATAATCCAAATAGCACACCGAGCAAGCTAATATTTTGCAACGAGCCTAGCTAGGGACACCAAAAAAGGTACACGACAGACAGGTGCCCAGTAAAAGTAGTTACCTTCAAATAACGTTCAAGGAAAGTGAAAACTAGCACCTGCCAGTATTTCCCACATTACAAAAAAATAAATGTTTACCTGCAGTAGCTTCTCTTAACGCATACACGATCTTTGGCAAAGGCAGACCGCAGCTACGTTGGGGGAAAAAACAAGACAGTGCTGTAGGTGTGTCTGTGCCACTTTCACGGTTTCTTCCAGGAAGTGAAGTTTTTCGTCTTGAAGCAAGTTATTGTCAAGTGTAACAGCGAGTGTCTCCAGTCTGACAGAAACGCGTTGATGGTAAACTTGTCTTGCTGGCTGCCATGTCGGATTGTTTGGACCGGTCCACGAAGATCAACTCGTTCAAGGAGCCGGTCGTGAAGAAGCTGTGTGAGGTGTTGGACAAATCCAGCAGCAAAGGATGGCGAAAACTTGGAGAGATAGTCAGCAATGAACGACGCTTTAAAGTCAGGTAGGCTGGGATTGATTCACACTGTAAGCTATGTAATATCACACTCATATCAATCCTATAGTGTGTCCGAAACCCAACACTGAGGGTTATTTTATGTGATAGTGTCCAGTGAATACTGTGCTATAATACAGGATTACAGAAAACATTGTGATGATAATAATGAGAATACTTTATATTAAGTACTGATAAATTAGTGATAGATAGATACATATACAGGGATCATGCAGTTCAGTAACACAAAATATCAGAAATTAAAGGTCCAATCTGTTATTTTTATACATCACAAATTTATTATCACATATTTAATTAGGAAATGAGAGAGGGGAAATTTACAGTCAAGAATAAAATAAAAATAAAACACTATAGTTGTAAACAAGCCTTTTTAGTTATTTGTTGTCTTTAGAAATCCCTTAAAGCACAAATATTTTATCTTATTAACAGCAAAACCGTCACCATGCAACTTTGACATTACCACCTGGATACTGTATTATTGTTGTCCAACTCTTGCCTGTATATAATAATGTTTATATTTGACTGTCTTTTGTGAAGTTGTGTATCTAGATTTATATCTTCCTGTACATTTATTTCCTCCGCATTATGAAATATGTATAAATATAGTATTGACCACTTCTGACAACCGGAGTCAATTTCCCTGTTTGTGTCAACATACTTGGCGAATAAAGTTGGTTCTGATAATGTGAAATATAACATGCTGTCATTCTGCAGCTCAGACGAAATGGAGATGTGCTCTCTGAAGGTGTTGGAGCTGGAGGGCAGCCCGAGCCGCATGCTGCTGAGGCTGATGGGAGAGCGAGGCTGCACCATGGGTCACCTGATGGACTACCTCCAAACTCTTGGCAACTCGGAGGCCCTGCAGTGCCTGAAACCATCAGGTACAGTAAAACCGCCTCCGGGCCTGTTATTGTGTTGTCAAGAATCCAAACGAGGTTGGTCTTTGTTCTCTGTGTTGTATTTTTAGCTTAAAGGGAAATTTATGACTCACTCACTGCGATACATTGCCATACAAGTTTACAGTCACACTACAAAAGCTTGTCATTGGAGGCAGGCTTCAATGAGTTTGGGATTTCTAAAGATATGATCATGTTTTTGCTATAGGATTGTGTCATTGGTAGGGTGATTAAGTACAGTGACACTGCATTTGAACACTTTTTGGAACTAAAATGCCTTTTTAAAGGTCTAGTGTGTAACATTAGAACATAAGATCTATTGGCAGAAAAGGAAATATAATAGTTTCGTGGCCACCGTAGTTTCATGCTTGGAAGGGCAGGGTGAAGCAAGGGAGTTGCAATCCTCAACTGCACCCCTAGATGCCACTAAATCCTACACACTGGACCTATAACCAACTTGGGGGATTTATAATATATAATAAATGTCAGCTTTACACAGAAACTGTCTATCTTCTATGTAACCTATCTGAATAAAGCTGACAGTGTAACACAATGCATGAATTGAAAGTCTCTGAAATGTGCAGCCTTGCAGATCGTCATTCAACCCCAGTCTGTAGCTCTCATATCTGGCCACAATCTGCGCCTCAGCTGTCATGCTGTGGGAAAATCTCCAGTACAGTACCAGTGGTTCAAGACCAAGGAAGAGGTGAGTGTGTTTGTTTATTTGTTGTTTTGTTTTATGCTGATATGAGATGCTGATGTTTTGCCTTCAAGTTTTATAACTGTACATCACTATCCCTGAAATCTCAGGATTTATGAAACAATGAGCCACAGACTGCACTTTAAGTGCCAGATTAACAGGTTAGAACTTGAAATCTTCTTCATCAGTACTTTATTTTCAAGGCTCTGAAGACCAAACACAAACACATGTCTTACAAACAAGTCTATCATTTTATCAATCCATAACTGGCATAGGTTTTGCATAGATACACCCTGTGCAAACATTTCATTCCCTTTCAGACATTCAGCTATCAGAAAGAAACCTAAATCCAGGAAATGATCAGCTGTCTTTTAGCTTTCTAGGATGTGTAACTGCAGTGTGATAATATATTCTAAAACGTAGATCGTAACTTCTCACTCACTACTCACTGTTTCCCTTTTCGACTTACATCTGAAACCAGTTTCCTTCAGAGCTGGCTATCCAAAAGGGAAAGTTACACATATAGTATTTCTAAGCACCCACATACTTTTATTTGTTATTTACCTGAAACTATTTTATTTTTTGAAGGCATTGCATCATATTTATTCAAGGAGGCACTCTGAGATACACATAGTTGGACAAAATGACTCTAAAGACAACAAACAAAAGCTAGTAGATGGAGGACCGCTGTTTGTCTTCAGGGCTGGAGGGATGTTATGCCTTATTAACTATATTGGTATTGCATTTTCCCCAGGTGCCAAACAGCTTCTCCCCAGAACTGGTGATAAGTCCAGTCCAT